CAGTCAAAGTAGTGGGTGTATTATTTTCTTATGAAGCATGTCTTTCTTTTCTAGAGAACATTAATGGAAATTTCAGAGCATCAAAAATAAATTCCTGCAGATATTTGATGAAACAGACAAGGAGACTGGGTTTGGCCTGTGATCTAAATCCCTACATTCGCGTTTTGAAAGAGCGGCATTGTTGCAGGCCGATTTGAGGACATGAGGATTTGCGAGGATCGGGGGAGGGTGGGCGAAGCATTAATTTTCACTGTTTCCATTTTCAATTCTCCCGAGCCATATGGGGTGGCGTCAAGCTGGCAAAGGAACAAATAACAATTTGACGCCGGAGACCAGAGCTCACAGCGACGGATAGAGTGGGGGTAAAAAAGTACAATGCAAGGAAGAGAAAGGGAAGGGAAATGAAGGATAAGAGAGAAGTCGAGTTATTTCCAGGACTGAACAGAATGTGATTAGATGCTGGCAACAGGAGAAGTGTGAAGACTGACAGAGACAGTGGCACTACCTTCAATGACAGGACATTAATCAACCCAGCGCCCACACACGCTCGCGCAATGAGACGTTTGTTTACACAACACACAACTTTTACATATTGACTGTATGTCCATCTGATGACTTTTCTATTTCAAGGCACTGTCTGCTCTACTAGAAAAGAAATGAGGCTTTTTCTTAAATTGATAGTTAATTATCTCTCAAATTAAAAAAGTGAAGCTCCACAAAAATAATACAAAGTTAAACTTTAGAAGACAGAATGTTACACTGCAGTGTAACATGAATCATTGCATCAATGCGGCGTAGCATGGAGGGAATCAGCCTGTGGTTCTTCTCAGGTATAATCGAAGCCAGACTTGATTAAATAGCAGTTTTCAGCTCATTTGGCTGTCCTTAGAGCAACATCTTTCTTTAGTTTGTAAAGTTTCCAAACACTTGGTAAAGACTAAAGACTGATCACATTTCTGTATAAAAATATAAACTTTTTATTAGCATATCCTAACATTTGAGTTATATGCGAAGCTCAATTTTGGACTTCCATTTGTTACAGGTCATATATCAGCTGATTTTAATGTTTTAAAGTTAACATTTTGTAAATTTTTGCATTTAAATTTGGGTCTCAACTGTTTCTAAAATCAACCTAAATTCTTTGGAAAAAAAAAGAAGCCAGCTGTTTGTTTGGGCAATAAATTAATGTTTTCTGGTTTTTGGAAAATTTGTAATTTCAAAAATCTCCCAACGGAACTTGTGCCTAGCAACAAGAGTCTGTCACCTAGCAACCGGAGACAAGCTCCAGCACATTTGATCAGCTGGTTTTACCAATGTATGCGTTGTACAAGGACTGCTGGACAAGTGTTACACTCAAAACAACACTTGTTGCATTCTTCTTGGTTGTGCAGGAGGCTCCAATTCTGCTTTTCTAAGCGGTGTGGTTGCTCAATTGCACATATGTTTGCAGCCATTTTCACGTGCAAGAGTTTAAACATTGGGGGGCGTGTTTATTTGGATTTATAGTAACAATATGCCCTGTAACAGGAGCTCAAAATAGGCAGAATTGAGCAGACTAAAATCTCCTTATCCAAGAATGATTTTGAGCAAAGAATGTAATGAGCATGTTTCGTGTTGCCCATAGATCTATCCTAACCTGCGCAAGGAAAAATTTACTCTTTCATTCTCATGAGAATCTCTGATTAGTATCCATTAAAAAGCAAAGCAATCACAGCACGAAAGCAAAGAGGTTGCAGAGTGCTGCACTCTATTTAGCAGCTAATCAAAAACAGGAGGGCTGTCGACGTGCTTGGTGGACATTGGTCATTCTGCTGCAGTGCAGCTGGGCCACAGGGAAGGGGAGAGAGATGACTCTGCCTGTCAGGACCCCCATCTCAACCCCAGCAGGAGCGCCAGCCAATAATCGAAATCTCAGCCAGGAGTCACTAGGTTGCAGAGCGGGTTTGTGAGATATGGGTGTAGGTGCATTTACAAAAAGGAAACAAAACAGAGAGGTGTTGAGCAGAAATATGAGTGCAAAAAAAAAAAAAAAAACTAATTGAAAGACGAAGTAAGGCAATAGAAGAAGCAGATGGAGAAGAGTTTACAGGGTCTGTTTGTGTGGTCGTGAAAGTTTTCCAATGAAGCAAAAAAAAAAAAAAACAGTTTATGAGGCGCTTTTATGTGAACAGCAGGCAGCAGGTCTGATGCTAAACGTTTTGCTGTTGCTGCTGCTGGGTGTGGAAACCCCTCCTGTTTCCTATCACGATGACAGTAAGCTGCTGGCCGGCTCAGACCCCCGGTCAGCTTCGTTTCTACGCTCCCCCCTAGTGACTCCGCTCAGGCTTTAAAAATTGAAAAGCCAGATTTGACACTTGGCTTCAATTCAGCGACCGAGATTAGCTGCTATGTGTTTATGCATTTAAAGTGAGGAAAACAACTGTTCAGCTGTCACATTTCGGACTGCTAGAAAAAAAAATGTAATTACAGTACATTAAAGATAGTCTGCCAGCATTCAAATGTAAGTCATAATCCCCTGGAGACATAAAGCGCATTAAGTTTAGACGACATAAAATGTGGAACATTTAGACAGCAGTCATTAAAATGGCAATGTGACAAAAACTATGTGTAGTTAAACTTTATGTGTTGCACCATTTGGATTTTTAGATGAAGAAAACTGCCAACACTAAACGTACCAGAGTCATTGTTAGCACTGAAAACCGTCAGACCAAACCAGAAAACTTTAACTTTATGTTTAGATTCACTGGAATGCAGGAAAAGATTAATCACCCTGAAGGTTTTGGATCAAAATCTAATCATCTGGAACTGTATCCAAACGTAAACCCACAGCATCTTGCATCCACAATCATTTTTAACACTGTGCATCGTGTTCTGTTTGGGTGATTCTCCAATTTTAGAACCATGTTTAACAGATTGTTCCATATTTTAATATTCTTTCTTTGCAATAAAGTGCTTTTTGCAACACTTTCTTTCTTAATCCAGATATGTGGAGAACACAGGAGATTGCTGCTGCATGTAAAACCTGGGCTTAGAAGAAATTCCTGCAACTTATTCACGGTCACCATTCAGGTCTTGACACCCTTCCAGTTTTATTTTTGTTAATTTCACAAAAACATGCACAATTATACAACGTGCATCTTTGAAAAGCCAAAGTAGAGCCTCCTGCACAACCAACAAGGATGCAGCAAGTGGTTTTTGGATGATAAGCCAACAACAAAACAATTTTTCAGGCTTTTCCAGTCGCCATTGTATAGTGCATACAGCGGTAAAACCAGCTGAAGCTGCAGATCAGCTTGGCTTGCTAGGTAACGGGCAGTGAATGTCAATTGTAACTCAACAATCGGTAGGTTTTTGAAAAGGCTCATTTTCCAGACACCAATAGAGACCAAGCAGTTTTTATTGGTGCTAGGTGATTTTATTAAGCGCTTGCTCTGCTTTTAGAAGCAGGTCAAAGTACAAAATGTGCAAAATGTTAATTTTGCATAAAACGTTCTCTTTACGAACCACAACCGCCTGTGAATCCAATTAATCTATGAATACCCCTAAAAAGCATATAATTGACTATTTCAGTAGTTCAAACACCAAATATACCTTATTATGCATCAATACCCACAATGGAAATCATCTTAGCACTATCGTAAAAGCTAAGGTGTTTCTTATTTCTGCTAGAAGATCTAGTCAATCAAGGAAAGTAAATGAATCTGCTGGATTAAAAACACCAGACAATAGCATGCCAAGTATTTCAGCTTATCAAGGTGCATTTTCCATTTGTTCAGCAAACTAAATCCACAGTCGGCTTAATCTGTCAACATAGAACTGCAAAACGGAGGTCCGGTTTTTGATACTCTTCTCCTGGCTGATACCTTTGTTCAAATGCATGTTGAAAACTCTCTGGATGCTTTAGCTGTCCTCATATTCAAGAAAGCAGCAAGGCTCAGAAAAATCCTACCAGGACAATTAAACACAATTTTAGGTTGATCTGATACAGGAGAGAATAATATAAAGCTCAGTAAAAATTAGGAACCCACATTGAAAACTTCCTGGTTTTTCCACCAAATATTTATTTCTGAACTCTTCCTGAGTTAAACATTAGTATTGTTGTTTCTAAACGCATATGAAAGCGTTTTCTTTGCATTATTTAAGGTCTGAATGCACTGCATCTTTTTAATTATTTTGCCAATTTCTCATTTTCTGCAAATATATACAAAATTTTTGCTTGGAAAAATTCAAAGACATGCTGAATATAAGAACAATGTTCATTTTACTCAAACATGAACCTATAAAAAGTCAAATCTGATCATTTCAAGAGCTCTCTTATTTTTTTCCAGAGGTGTAGAAGCTGATGTATTTGTGAATAGCAAATACATCAATATATAAAGCATGAGTGCTTGGCAATAATACCATATTCGCTCTGTATTTCAAACGAGACATGTGAGCAAACACCAACTGTGTCAGCTGTTGACTTGCTTCTGCTGAAGATTAATGCTGCTTCTGTACGTTTCTGAAGTGGGAGAGCAGAAATTGTATTTTTAATGGCCTCATAATGGAAAATCTCACAAGGGTGATACAGGACCAAAGACCAGCTGCTCTGAATGCAGTGTGTGCGTTCGAAAGATGGATTGAGGAGGAAGAGGTGTTCATTTGTGAAGGTCGACCCGACTGAAAGCCCCAATCCATTTGGGAATGAGGTGAATGCGCAATTCTTCCCCACAATCCCGCCCAGCCATTCTGCTGGATTTCACGGTGGCCGGCCTCCAAGCGGACGCCGCATTTCACACTTCCAGCCGTCGCCATAGAGACGACACAAAGACATCTGTTGGTGGATGTTGCACGTAACTTTTCTGCTGTGTCCAAGTTGAGGTCGAGAGTTAACACTTGAAATAAGAGAAGAAAAAAAACAACATGCTGCAAAAAAAAAAACAGCCTGCCAACGCATGTTGCCTCCTCGACGTGTGTGGGTTTGAGTGACCCGACCCCCGCTTGTTTGCACCTTCTCATACCTGATGGATGATCTCAGACACTGGCAGCTGGTCCACGTACGAGTACATCTCTTCACGCGTTTCTCCATTCGCAGGGCTGCGAGAGAGAGAACGGGACGCCGTCAGCATTTATGCAACAAAGAAGGTCATGCTACGGCGAATGCATAGGATAAAGGAAGAAAAGGTGAAAACAAACAGGACTTCTGATCTTTGTTCTGATCATGCAATCAAATTCCCCTCACCGCAAATCAACATCACAATCCCTGTACAATCAAAATACATCAACAGCAGCAGCCAGTCAGCCCTGGAAGCGAAAACAATAATAAGTCATCAATGAAATCAGAAAAAATAAAGTGTTTTGTGGCACAGAACAACAATCTATACAGCAACGATATGCTCAATATGTTTTCAATGTAGCTTAAAAGTGGTGGAGAAGCACTTAGCTTCTAAATGCCACTGATGTTCACACAGAGAACTGAAGGTTGAGTTTTATCTTGAAGAATTTTGTCGCAGGGAGCCAAATTTACTGATTAGCGCAGGCGATAAGTGATGCTAATGACACGGCATTTTATGATTAAAATTGCTCTCATGCAGGTTAAGCTTCTGCTTTATCCATTATAAAGAGCTGCAGTTCTCATCCCCTTCACAGGATTAAAATACAGTAGAAACTAATAATAAACTTCAACAAAGCAGCAAATTGCACAATATTTAAAACAAACATGTCCTATAACATGTTTGAGTGAAAGCCAGCTTTGTGGCACTTAAGTTAGCTTTTATCTAATCTACTGAAATATAAGGTGTTTTGAAAGAGACCGACTCAAATCTTTGTCTTGCAGAGTAAATTTGTTCAATCAAGTGCAAAAGAATGTGAAGACTAAATTAAATTTATTTAAATACAAACAAATCTGCAAAATAAGTGTAAAGTTTTTGATCTACAATGAATAACATCCATTTTCTACAAAAACAAATCAGTCAACTTGAATTGGTTTATTTTATTTTAAGATTTTTATAATTTTTGGGGGGCTAATTAGTACTTTTGATTTTCAAATTTTGGCCTATGAGACAAAATGTTTGGACACCCCTGACATAAAGATATGTTTTGATGACTTGCTCCACCTCAAAAAATGCCACTTTTTTTTATTATTAAGGTTCAACATTTCAGAATGGGGAGAATACTACCTACGATAAATACTAAACTCACATAAGGTGCATCTGAAGTACTTTCTTTCTCCTCTGAATGCTAGAGAAGTAATCACAATCAGGACTTGAACCTGGAAGTATTTATACACTCTGCCACAAGCCAGTTTATTAGGTACATAAACCTCTTCAATAGCTTGTTAACACTAATAGCAAATCAGTTCAATGCCTTTAGGTGTCTCAGAGGTTCCAACCAACTGCGCATCAATGAGGAGGATTTAAGCAGCTCTGAATCTGGTCCAAGTATTTCAAAAGCTGATGATTTCCTTGGATTTTTATGCACAACCGTCTGTCTTCCTGGTTTGACTGAAGTCATGCTTTGCTGATGTCAAGAGGTCAGGCAGGCAGACTAATTCAAGAAGACAGAAAGGCATCAAATAATCATTCGTTATAACCAAGGTATGCAGAAAACCATCTCTGAATGCACATGTCAAACCTTGAAGCAGATGGGTTGTGGCAGCTAATAACAGGAAACTGAGGCTGCACCAGAGTTGGACAACAACAGTTGGAAAAACATTGGTTGGTTTAATGAATCTTCTGTTCAGCAGAAACATTCAGATTTTAGAAAAATTAATCTGGTTTATGTGAAAGAATTGATTTATTCTGACTGGGATCTACTGGTCAGGATGGTGGTGGTGCTATGATGCTGTGGAGAATATTTTTTGATTCACCTTGAGGTTCTTTTAAAGGCCAACAAATATGTTTTTAATCATTTTGGCCTTTAATCCACACAAAAACATTTATTCAGTCTCACCAAAAACTCAGTCCAAAGTGAAGACTTGAGAAAACTTTTTGTGTTTGAGTCTGTACATGAAAAAATTCAGATATAGGGTCTCGACAATTACAGTCCGGGACAAATAATGCGTCACCCACATGCTTTGACATTATTTCCAACTGACATCGTCTTCTGTTTTATTGACTTTATATTATAATAAGCTATCTAAATGTAATTAAACCTATATATCAGTTCACACAAATTAACCTCATGGTGCTACAGGTTGCTGTTTTCAGCTCCTCAATAGATAAATATAAAAATGTTAATTTTTCCCTGTTTGTTTTGATCTCATTATTAATTTGAGATGAGCCTAAACAAACTGTACATAACTGTTCAATGTTTTTTTTTTCTTCTTTTTGTTATGCATTTATCTGTGGTTGTCCTGCTGTCTGCATAGAAAATTACCCCTTAGAGGACAATCAAGTTCATCTAATCTGATCCCAACAGGAAGCTTTGGTTGTTTTGAAGCAATCTGACTGGCTGGTTTCAGTTTTGTGCCGCACTGCCCTCTATGGGTTTGGCATGTTTGAAACAATACCGAGTGGCATATTTGTGCTGGTTCACGAAAGTTAAAAACTTTTCTTAATCCGATCCCAGGTGTACAATGTTCTTAAAACGATTTGATGATAATATAAATTTTTATTTGGATGTTATTTACAAGACCCAAACTCACATTGGAGATGTATTTGTTTTCGAGCGATTTCACATACAATCTCCAACAATGGCTCTACATACATATATATTCAAGCAACTATTTATTCTTTTTTTACACATGAGACTGTTGTCTCATCAGTGCCTTCAAAGACATAAACAGATGAACACATGCAGAACAGGAGGCAGCTGTTTCAGTTATCTTTTAGAAGAACCAGCTGCCAGTTTTTGCCCAGGAAGAACAAACGCCACCTGTTTTTAGGATTCGGCTTAAAGGTTTCCTTTGTGACAAAGCTTAAAGCTCAGGCACTTTCCTGGGATATAGTTGTAGTTATGAACCAATATAAGCTTAGCCTGCTGGAGGATACAATGGCCCTTTTTTTTCTCCTCCTCACACTCAATTTATACGTCATTTATAGTTATTGCTGCCATTGCCCATGAGCAACAGCTCTATTTTTCTCGACACAGAAGATACACTTGGCCCACTGCTTCTGCAATTAGGATGGTGTCTTTTCCTGGACATGGCCATTAACTAAGCTATTGCTGCATTATATTTGTGTACTCTTTGGTTTTGTTTCCTATAAAAAGCCCTCATCACTGCGTCTGTATTTTTTCTGCTTCCTTCATGTATTTTTAATTCCCAGATGGTTTAAGACTGGAACAGCTACAAAAGGCACATTCTTCCTAAAAACGGGAAGCTTCTCATCTACAGTAATCATGAGCTTAATCAGGAGGGACTGATTAAGCTCAACTTCCCAAAAAAATTTTGGGGGAAGTTGCCTATGTTTTTTCAACTGAATTAGGAATATTTTGCACAGCTAAATCTGAAAATGACATTCATTTTTCTCAGTCAGGTCAAGTTTTTATTCTAATTTAATTTAGAGAAATCTGATCTGACTAAATCAATAACATTTTTGTAACGTTATCAGTTCATTTTTGTTAATATTTCTTATCTAAAAAAGGTTTTAGGAGAAAAAAACATGTTTTCTAACAAAGAGTATTAATTACATGTTACAAACATATTTGCATTGTACTTGTATTTCTGTAAATTGAATGACAGACACCTTTAGGGTAAGTACTTGTAAATTGAATATTACGTCTTTATTGTACAAAAGTCTCCATCACCCTTATGTCCAAATGGAGTCTCTTCTGCTGCTCATCACTCATTGATGCCAAATTATCAGGGAACCGATTCATATATGAGAACAAGTCATGCATTTTGATGCTCATGTTGCATCCATAGTTCAAGACATTGACCTGATTGTGCAAAACCGATGTGATTTTTGGATTCAGCACATCAAAACTATCCTAAAACAGTTGAAAAGCACCAGACAATTTTTGGTTGTCGACTTGTGTTAAATATTTACCAATTAAAATGAAAACTAAACTAAAATTGAACGTCTCGATTGGTAGTTTTAGGCCGTATGTAATTAAATTTGAATCCGACTGTATGTTAATTTAATTTGGCTCAAACTGGATTCGATAAGAATTGGACTTGTTTGTTTTCTAAAGTGTCACGATTGCCTCTGTGTGCATCTTGAACCATATAAAAATACTGAACTATTCCAACTTTGGATCGCAAGTGATGCTTCAGCAAACATTTCACGAGACAAAAAAAATCCCTGAACAATTATGGAACTACACATCATCAACTTGCTGTTTCATTCTCCTGCAAGAACATCTTTGCAAAAAAAAAAAAAAAAAGAAATTAAATGCTAAATTTGAAAAAAAAAGCTTACAGATCTGTTATTAGCATAAACATTCACAAAATTCAGATAAGAAAGAAACTCCCAAAAAATGGTTCTTTTACAGTAGCAGTGATGTTTGCCGAACGCCATGCACAAAGGAAAACAAAATAACGTGACCCGATTTCTCTCTGGGAAAGATTTCCATGGTGAGTAAGAACAAATAGGCTTAGGGATGAGAGCAATTGAAAAGTGGGAAAGGATTTGAGGAACAGGCTAAGATGGTTGTTTTTCTTTCATGGGATTTGTTAACCATAACAAAGCCACAACGCATTATCATTCTTGTAGAATAATTCTGCTCTGCAGCAGGTATTAGTAATCTAACCTGGATTACTTCAACTCACTGCGTGTGCTAAGAATTCGATTCATCTGAATTCTCCTCATTTGTGATGAATAAAATGTGTGCTATTTCATCCTTCTTGGCCAGGTTGTTGTTAAAAATCACCTGGTAAAATAAAAAAGAAGAAAAAGAATACACTCTTCTGACTTTAAAGCACAGTTTGGACTCATACCCAGTTAAATGTTTAAATATTTATTCCTATTTTTCCTCCAGATTCAATACATGAAGTCAAAATGACTGTAATTAAAAGGCAGGACGTTTCAAATCCAGAGACAAGGTGTATTCAAAATCAAACTCAAGTATTAATCAATTTCTAACATTAAATCCTAACATCTGTTGTAAATATGGAGATATATTTTAACTTTTTGGTTTCGAAGGAGAAAAAAAGC